GTTGATTAAACCGGCTTCTGAGGTGTGGTTTTTTGGGCACTTCGCTGTAACTATTGATATCAGACCTGTTATGGAGAAATCCGTATTTATTACACCGGGCTATTTGTTCTAAACATCTACTTTTTTTTGGGGGGGGGAAGGGGCAACTAAGTTATTTTACAATGTATTCAATACGTTTTAAGTCATATGGTAGATGCAGTGTTTAGCTTGTATTATACCGAACTATTTGTACTTAACATCTACTTTTTACTTTAACAAAAATTTTACGATGTACTCATTACGTTTTAAGTCATATCGTAGATGGAGTGATTAGCTCGTATTACACTGAAATATTAGTTGTAAACATCTAGATTTTTGCCGATCATAATATAATTTTATGTAACTCTCAATACGTTTTAATTCATATTGTAGACGGAGAGATTAGCTCACAATCCACGGAGTTATTTATTCTAAACATCGACATTTTGCCGATTGTATGGTTTTACAATGTACTCAATACACTTAAAATCATATCGTAGACGAAGTGGTTAGTTCCTTTTACGTTACGACGCCGGGAAGGAGAGAAAAAGTGGGTGGTTGAAGTGCGCGACTGGTAGGTCCTGCTTCGATTAATTCCCTTTGTTCTTTCTACCTATCTGTCTCGCTGTAACTCAGCATCAAATGACTGTTATTGTGTCGACGTACGTGCTACCGTCTACTCAAACAGAGGAATACCATTTCTGAAAGGACAGGAGAAAAATGCACTCCCCTATCGGATTTCAACCCCGAACTATCCATGGTGTTCTCAAAAGTTTTTTCGTGAACCACATCATGCTGGTCTATCGTTCTAACTATCAAAGGAGCTTCCACCGGAACTTTCGTACGTCGTGTTTTACTATCGTATCCATACGACGTGGGAAACTCTGTACAACCACTTTCCAAAGAGGAAATTTACACGTTAATCCGATCCATGCGCTTTGCTTAGCAGTCTGTCAAAATGATTTTTTGAGAAATACTAAAAGTTTCAAAGAGATCTTCGCACTAGAAGTATTTTAAAAAGTGAAGAATAGAACGCCGGGGGTTCAAAATGCATACTTGACTTCTCGAGATACATTGTGCATTTTTTATTAAACATAAATTATGTCGTCTCTAGATACTTAGTGGCCTCGGTAGCCTAAAGTCTAGTGGCCAAACAACCGGACTCGTAATCGTGAGATTGTGGGTTCGGGTTTTCGAGCCTCAGCTCGCTCCGACATTGTGTCCTTGGGAAAGGCACTTTACACGAATTTCACACTGGGCGCGGTCTTTTCGGAGATGGACGTTAAACTCGAAGGTCCTGCCTTTTAAATAACCTAACAGTGTTGATGGGGGCGTTAAACCGATATCATTTTACCATTTCTCTAGATAATTCTTCAACTGACCACTTACTTCCTTCAGATACACTGTACTTCTTTATTGACCGTTTGCCCTGTTCAGAAACTTTTCGTTATGTATTCTTTTCCCTTTCCAAATACTGCACAGTTGACCATTTACCTTCTTTAGATACTTCTGTATTGACGATTTACCCTCTCAAGATAATTCTGTATTAACCATTTGCCCCATCTAGATACTTTTAGATTGACCATTCGCCCTCTCTAGATACTTCTTTGTGGACCATTTACCCTTTCCAGATATTTATATTGACCGTATACTCTTTCCAGATACTTCTGAATTGACTATTTGCTCCTCCATATCCTTATTTCCTAACCATCTGCCCCCATCCATATCTCCACAGATTTCAACAATCCAAAATGTCGAGGTTCATCATCGGAGCTCTTGTGCTGCTGACCCTAGCAGCCTGCATCCAGGCCTATGTGCTGGTCAGTATAATTATGTATTAGTCAAGAACATTTTAAGTATAATTGTTCTACACTACTATCGACACAATTCAGATAATTTAGAAGGCGAGTTTCGACCCTGCCTGTCTGGCCAAACCTGACTGAGAGGAATGAAGAAAGGGATAGTAGATATACGGCGATATTGATAAACGTTCTCCCCACACGAGTATCAAACTCAGGCTTTCTGTGTACGCTGGCGAAGGACCTACTCCACAGATGAAGTAATGTGTTGGTCAGTATACAAGTGTACGTACAACGGAATGATTGTAAACGTTTTTAATGCCTAGACTTTGCATTCTGACGTAATTCCTGTTCACTGTTGAGCGTGCCATTTTATTCGATATGAAGACAAAGGAAGGGGAAAAAGAGGGGAG